TGAACCCCTTGATAGAAGTCTGCATGCGGCATGCCCATTTTAGCAAACATCTGAATAAACTTCAAACTCATCACGGTGTTAACTCAATTATTGCCATAAAGTATGTAAATTGAAATCAAAATTTGCATTTGCAGGCCGACAAACATCGACAACAGACAGAGAGAGAGAAAGACGAGCAGACGAGCAGAGCGTTTGTCTACGGTTGATGCGGATTACACAATCGAGATAGACAACTGCTGGGGAAACGGCGATTGGACACAACAGTCTGACTGGCTGTTAGTTAACTAGTATAATAATTATCAGTGCTGGATTATTATCAGTGCAACGGTGCAACGGCGTAGCGATAAGGAGAAAGAGGAAGAGCCCAATGAGCTGCTAGTAGAGCTGGCAGGCCAATCAACACACAATGTCAGCATTTGCGAATCGACAGAGCCGAACCCACTGCAAAAACAGTATTAAAGCGCCGATGAACAGTTGAGAGCCGTTCAGGGTGAGCGCCAGTGCAGCTAAACAGGAGTAGAAACTCAGACACGACAGATCACAGAGATCACGTAAATTAGCAAAGCCCAGAGATTTTGGACTCGAAATCGGACCCGGACTGGGAGGCAGGCCGACAAATGACGGAACAGGAACACAACAACATGTTGTCCACGGACAAATGCATAACGACCACATCGACGCCAATTATCATTGGCAGCCGCAAGACTTCAGAGCAGCATGCACACACGCAGCTGCATCCGCAGCAGCATCCACAGCATCCACAACAACAACAACAGCTCGGCCATCCGCATTTGAACATGCATCACACCTGCAGCCACACGGTGCACAGCCAAAAGTATTCGCCCGAGGCGCCGCGACGCAACCTGCACGAGCTGCTGCTGGAGGTGCTGGATGTGCTGTTATCCTGCCTAATCGTAGCGCCGTGCGTGATCGCCTATTGGCGCGGCACCTGGGAGCTGATGGGCGTGCTGCTCTTCCCAAACAGTCTGCCCTTCTCGGCGCTGGCCTCCTTCGCCATCGGCGGCCTGGGACACTTCATATTCACCATCACACAGAACTTCTTCAAGGATCACATACATCCGGACAAGCGGCGGCTGACCTACTATGCCATCTCGCGCCTCTACACCGCCGTCTTCGGTGTGGTCTGTGTGAATATGTGGCGCGGCGCTTGGATGGTCTGCGACTGGCTGACCAGCATCGATTCCCTGGCCATCATTTCCGTGGTCACTCTCGTCGCTCTGCTCTTCCTGGTGGGCACTCGGACACTGCGCAACCTGGGTGCGGCGCCCTACACCGTCACCATGGACCACAAGAATGACTACTTTGAGGTGGACACCATGTTCAAAATACCGGTAAGTCGTAATACTTAGATAAAATATAATGTTATCTACATAGAAAGGATTCATTATAATTTATATATGGGATATCGAAAATAACCATTAAAAATTATATTTTATTATTAAATATAGTTGAAAACTTATGAATCACACTTGTATTAGAGTTTTCAGGCTCTTCACGTGAACAGTGCAAATCCATATCAGTTCTTAATAAGAAACATGAGATCAGATTCTCAGATAAAAATATATTGACAGCATTCGAATAATATTAATTGAATTAACTTGATTAGCATAGTTAATCTTAATCTTTTATAGTAAATAAAAAATATAATAATAAAAGAAAAATTATGAATCTAATCAGGTTTACAAAAATTATATAATATTTTAAATAGTATAAAAAAAAAAATTGCAATTTTCAATCAGACAGGCGATCAACATTATTTATTTCAACTATTTTTCAGACGAATACAATCAGCAATTTTAATAGTTATTCCCTTATATGAAACCTTGAACAATTCATTCGAATTAAATCTGAGAATGTTAACACAATCAACTAGTATGAGTGATCTAATTGAGACAGCCCGATTTGGATCCTATTCCAATCATACTCCTTCTTCTTTTATATCTGCTTATGCAGCTTGACTTACGTAAATTATTTGTTTTATAGCAAAGATCGTGATAGATACCATATCTATTATTTTAATTGTACTCGCTCTGTATAATATTCAGTTTGTGAAGAATTGATATTTAACACCCAAAAGATATTTATGTGCTTTTTCTGCCATGTTAGCTTTAACTTAAAGCCTTTGATTCTAAAAAGGAAGACTGCTTAAATTAGAACCGATCGAAAGTCAAACTGAAATACGACCCTAAGATATAAAGAGTACTCTGATGAAGTCGGCAAACCAAAACATTGTTAACTTTTCGTAACTTTGGCATGGGATCAGAATACAGTTGACTTATGTAAATCTGAAACGTTAGAAAAGTATAGCACACTTGCCAGATATCAAATATAAGGAAATATAGTCCATCTATTATAATTCTTGCGCCAAACATGCCAACAAAATTATAGAGTCCCGAGTTGCCAGTGTGTCTATGAGCATGAGGTAGCCAAACACTAAATAATCTTCCATAAATGAACAAGATCTGTGACCTTAAGACTCTCCATGAGCGAGCATAGAATGCGACGGTGCCACAGAATGTCAAATAGTGTGAAGTCCCCGTGTAAGCACGGTGCTTGACCAAGGACATTGCTGCGCTGACTGTTAGTCCCTCGGGTGATTCCATTCGAAAATCGCATTGTGTAGAAATAGGTTAATGCAATTCATGCAGTCGCCGCTCAATCGTAGCTAAGTTTAATATTATTAAGTAGCGAATGCGCCTCGACTATTTATTTATTTATTCTTATTATTATTATTAATTGGCTTGTTTGTTTCGTTTTCCATGCATTTAGGGCTTCGCTCAGCCCGGCCTCTACGTGCTGGACACATTATTCTCGGTGTTTGTCATTGGCAGCCTCGTGGTCATCGCTTGGCGCGGCGTTTGGGGCATCTTTGATTTGACTCTGTTCCCGCGAGATAAGGCAAAGTCCGCCTGGGGATCCCTGGTAAGCTCAAAGCTTCCCAAAAAAAATCTCTCAACTGACTCTATCTCTCTCTCTCTCTCTCTCTCTCTCTCTCTCTCTCTCTCGCCTGCAGCTAATTGGTTACCTGACAGTCTTTGTTACCTTCATCCTACAACCTTTGATGCGCTACGTTTGCCGTCGAATTAGCGGATTATTGAAGATAATCATATGCGATATTTACTATCTGATGACATTTTTCGGTGCTGTGAATGCTTGGCGTGGCATTTGGAATTTGCTTGATGTTTACCTGTATCCAGGTGAATATGCAATATAAAGCATTATCTTTGCAGCTGAATTAAATAATGTATTTTTACAGACAATCGTATATTGAGCTTCTGGATAACGCATATCGTCCCCTTTCTACTCCTGGCCGCTCTCAAGTGCTCCAACTCGATTCTGGTGCGTGGTGTATTCATCGATGGTGAGGGCTCTGGTGCCGAGGCCGTTCACCTGCCCATCAATTATGTGCGCTTACACTTTCTACGCGAACGACGCAAAAAGGTTGCCGCCGAGCAATTTTCGCACCTGGATGCGCCACTCTATTATCTGAAAGCGGATCACACGACCCTTGGCAAGCACTTGGAAAAGGACATGGAGGCACATCACAGTCTGATCGAGAAGCCACACGCCCCCGCAGCCCAGATCATCTAGATGAGGATTAGCTTTTACATACATGCATAGGTGTTAAACTAATTTTAGATGCATAAACTTAATGCTAGTTCATGCTTGTTGTTGAAGCGCAAGCATACTTAAAGCCTGGATTATTAGTTTATCTAAATCTAACTTTTATTTAAAATTGTACAAAATAATTAATATATGTAAATATATATATTTAAAAATATCTATATATAAATCTACGTTATATTGTTGTTAGGCATTCGCTTTTCTTTTCAAGATTTTCTTCTGTACATTTTGCATTTCAATTTAAGTTTCGCTTTCTATAAAACTGATTCATTGCAAATAAACAAATACTTGTGTAGTATAAATATTTTAGCTCGACCCTTCCTAACTGAGAGGCATCATCTGTATGCTATAGCTCTATAGTATATAGTAAATATTTGCCTATCTAAATTTCAAAGAAATTTAGTTCTATCTAAAACCTTACAATATTGCTAATTTAAGCAAAAGGTGCAAATATCGTAGGGTATTTCTATTTGCCAAGCTATAATAGTTACGAGAGTCCAATTTGAAATATTAAAAAAATCGATTATTGAATACGTATTAAATCTTTTGAAAAAATAATTATTTGTAAATTTAAAGCCAAGCTGAATATTTAATTTTATAACAGTATCTAAAAAAAAAAA